GGATATCCACAGAGTTCTCAGTGGCCTGCAGGAGTCCCATGCCTGTGCCCAAAGCTCCCAGCCACCTCCAGGAGCCCCATGCCTGTGCTCAGAGCTCCCAGCCACCTCCAGGAGCCCCATGCCTGTGCCCAAAGCTCCCAGCCACCTCCAGGAGCCCCATGCCTGTGCTCAGAGCTCCCAGTCACCTCCAGAATCCCCATGCCTGTGCTCAGAGCTCCCAGCCACCTCCAGGAGCCCCATGCCTGTGCTCAGAGCTCCCAGCCACCTCCAGGAGCCCCATGCCTGTGCTCAGAGCTCCCAACCACCTCTGGGAGACCCCATGCCTGTGCTCAGAACCCTCAGCTGCCTCTAGAAGCCCCATGCCTGTCCTCAAAGCTTCCAGCTGCCTGAGGGAACCCCAGGTCTGTCCATAGAGCTCCCAGCTGCCTGCAGGAAGCCCCATGCCTGGCCTCTCAAGGAGGTGTCTTACATCTTGTCTCTGGCTATGGTGTTTCCCACCTTTTCCTGTCACTGTGGTCTAGTAGATGAAACCAAGAAGGACTTCTCGAATGGAGATCCTGGTAGGGGGTCCCTGACAGTCCAGAGATATCAAAATGAGACATAAATATTCACAAGCTATTCTCTGTGGTACCTGGTGTAAGCTAGGCCCACAGATAGCAGCAAGGGGAACAGACACTGGATGACCAGTGATGGTCAGAGCAGTGGCAAGAAGCTGGGTATCCCAAGGTCCCAGCAAGAAGCCACAGAGAAAAGAAGGGGGCATTGCAAACCAGACTAGGAGAGAGAGTCGGGATTCATACCAGAGGGACCCGGCTACTGTCCATATTTAGCAACTCGGTGTGCAGGGTCACAGGGTCAGGACAGAATCCAGGTCAATACACAGTATGCAGGATCCACAGGACGCTGAAGGCAGCATGATGGGAGTAGCACTGACAGTTTGGGGACATCATCCCTGAGACAGCAGTCCTAAGCCAACAGACATGTACTCTGAGACCTTATGCAAACTGGAGCTGGCTTTGGCCTTCCTTTAAGCCACCTCCCTCTCATCAAGAAAAAAGAAAATGAGGATATGTCAATGCGGAACTGGGGTCTGCAGAGCTTGGTCATCATAGCAAGATTTCATCCTTGGGGAACTTTCTAGACTTGGAAGGTCACATTGTCTTTCTTCTGAGGTTTATCCTGAAGAGAAGCAGCCAGGGATGGTAATGGTCTTTCTGGACAGGATGTAGATGTACAGCATGGCATTGTTTTCACACAGGACATGCCAGATCCAGTGTTTATACTAGAGGCTTGCTCTGATCCCAGGAGAAAGAGAGTCCCAAGCATGCCACACTGAGGGCCCGAAGCTGAAGGACAGGAGAGCCATACCTGGAAGGAGCCATGGAGGAATGAAGGAAAGCTTTTGACAGCATAGATTCTGGAGCTGAGGAATAATAGAGACTACATAGGACCAGGGCTAGATGTCCAATGTGATCCTGGGTGTGGGGGTGGCCAGTGTGTTCCTTCTGAAGGCATAGAGGCTCACACCTCATGACCTGGTGTGCATGGTTGCATACCCTGCTCACAGCTTCCCCTCTGGGCAGCACTATTTTGCCTCCTCCAGCTGATAAGTCAGATGGCACCTGTGGCTTCCACCTGTCAGCTACTGAGCAGAGAAGTCCCGTTTATAATTCATTTAACTAGACAGTGCACTAGGCAGGGATGAGGAGGAAGAGGAAGAAGGAGGAGAGAAGTGGAGGAGGAAGAAGAAGAAAAGAGATTTATTGGACTGGCTTACAGGATAGGAGACTGGTCCATTTGTTACTTTTCTCATCAAGGTGACAAAATGTCTGACAGAAACCACTTACGGAAGGAAGATTCTGGTTTTGACTCACAGTTCAAGGGTACAGTCTATCCTCACAGAGAAGTCATGGTGGCAGGCATGTGAGGCAGCTAGTCCCATTGTATCCACAGTCCAGAAGCAGAGACATGAACCCTAGTGCTCAGCAGGCTTTCTTCTTCTGATCAGGCAGAGATTTGATCTCATGAAAGAGTCTGTGAGAGTGATTCTCTCCTCTTCGGTTAAACAAATCTGGAGACACTGTCATGGACACACCCAGGGGTGTGCTTCCATGGTGACTGAACATAGACCATCACACAGGGGAATCCATCAATGGCCATCTGCACACTAGTGAGACTAAGAACCAGGAAGTTCATCAGGCCTGATCGGAGCTGAAAATCTAGATCTTCCCTGAGAGTCACTGTGTCAAAGTCAAAGGAGCTAGAGTTACAAAGGCAGCCAGCAACCACAGTGGCAGAGAAAGATGCTTGCTTAGGAGGTGGTGAAGGCTGCCAGGTGAATGCCACTTTTCCTGCCAGCTTTTTTTTATCTGGTCCACCAGTGCGTAGGTGCTGTCGATATTAAAGGCAGATTTTCCCCCAACACTCACTTTTCCTACATACCTATCCTCTCTAGAAATGTCCCCACAGACACACACCAGATCTAGACATCTTTTAGTCCGGTCAAGTTGACAACCAAGACCAACATTCACAGACAGATACCAAGAAGCCAGAATTTTGAAAATATGGGGGCAGATGTAGCAAAGGGTCAAGGCATGAAACAGTACTGATCAAGAAAGGGCCCAGTCTGAGTTAACCCCAGAAAACTACAACTCAAAGATTGATGTCTATGTATTGGTTGTGTCTACTGGATACAGATATAGAGGAAGGACTGTGGTCAAAGGGTACCACCGAGAGCTGAGATAACAGGAAGATTGCCCACCAACGAGAAAACTGCCATGGAGGAGAGATGTTGAGAGACTCTTTCATTAAGACCATTTCAACTGTCCATGCAGGGAAATAAATAGCCACATACATGAAGCTGTGCTTTATGGTCTGTGAGAGTTTCCAGAACTTGGCTCTGTGGGACTGAGTTGTATCCAGCAATGCTATTAATGCCTCCCAATTGTCTGTGATGGCAAGCTCTGGAACTGGCATTCAGCAGATCTGAACTCTTTTCCAGTGTGACATTCTGAGAGCTATGTGGGAAAAGAATTTCAGTTTTTGATGGATCTGAGAAATAGAATCTACATATCAACAGCACCCCAAGCTAGACCTAGGCACACAAGAGTTCTAGTTCTCACACTGAGGTACTCATTACCACTGTTAGGAATACACATTTGCAGTTCCAAACCTGGGCCAGCTGAATTAGAACTCCTGGGGATGGCCTGGTGTTCTGAATTTTCACACTCCCTTCATTTGATTCTGACACTGGCTCACTATGGAAACCTGTGCCTTATACCCAGTAGGGGGTCTCAAAAGGATCCTGTTGCAAGTCTGTCCCTACTATCCAGCTGGGCAGCTCTCTCAAGTCCTGGTGGGGCCAGGCACTGGGATACAAGGATATACAAGACAGTGTCCTCAAAACAACCAAAATTAAATGATTGACTACTTGGCCATTGCAAATGCTCTCTCCATGACTTTGAAGGAGGTGTGACTACACTTCTGCTGTTTTCACAGCCCTTGGTCAGGAGTTCTCACAGTGAAGATCCACAGCTATAGTTTGAATAACAAGGATGGAGAAGAGCCTGGCCACTCACCTCCATCACCTAGTTTCTTCATGCTGTCACTAAGTGCTTCTGGACTCAACTGCCTTTGTGAGGTGTAAAGACTGTAGCCACACCTGGAGAAAGGACAACTGGATTGCATGAGAAGGTGGTGGATGCCCAAGTGAATGTAGGTTAGAGCTAGCCAGATGGTAGAGTCTGGAACTAGAAGGCACTTATGCCGAGGTATATACATCATCTTGTGAAGATGCATATAGATTACGAACTATGTTGGGCATGTAAGGCTATGTCAAAGACAAATTATAATTCCTAACCCTTCAAACACGCAACTACAGTAAACATATATTCCTCATGGTGTTAATACAATACTTGGTTGAGCTTGAACTACTTATGGTTTCAAAATGGAAGAAAACCTCAAAATTGAATCAAGTTCTTGGATGCTTCTCATGAGGAAGTTCTGGTACATGGCCAGAGCACTGTACCAAACAGCATTGCCTGACTTTTGTGTTACCCCACAATCCATTAAGAATGAGGGTCTCTACTCATCTCATTTACTGTTGTAAGTCAAGGTAGAAATATGTTTCCCTGCTAAATATTTATTGAGTCCAAATTCACCTATACCTGCTTGATATCATAAGAAACAAAATATGTACTGAATATTTGCGATGATGGGGAATGATGTTCCCCACCTTGAAGGACAGATGTAAACATCACACAATTGTGAGAAGCATACATATAGCATCTAGGATATAAGAACACCCACTGAGTGTTCACAATAAGAGAAGCATGGAAAAGTGTTGTTTGAGTTTTCCTGCCTGGCCCACAGTCAGGACAAATCTCTCTTACCCGCCAGTCCCACAGCCTCTCAGACCCGACCAAGTAAACACAGAGACTTATATTGGTTACAAACTGTATGGCCATTTCAGGCTTCTTGCTAACTGTTCTTACAGCTTAAATTAATCCATTTCTATAAATCTATACCTTGCCACATGGCTCGTGGCTTACCAGCATCTTCACATGCTGTTTCTCATCATGGCGGCTGGCAGTGTCTCTCTGACTCAGCCTTCCACTTCCCAGCTTTATTCTCCTCCTTGTCCCGCCTATACTTCCTGCCTAGCCAATGGCCAATCAGTATTTTATTTATTGACCAATCAGCAACACATTTGCCATACAGAACATCCCACAGCAGAAAAGCAGTGTGGGGCAGATCATGGGTCAGACCTAGAGGTAGAGAAAAGTGCAGGGAATCCAGGATGAGGCTGACCTTAGCTTGGCTGAGGAACACTGTCTCAGCTAGGTTTCTACTGCTTTGGTGAAACACCATGAACAAAAACAACTTGGGGAGTGTCTTAATTACTGTTTTATCACTGTGAAGAGATACCATGACTAAGGCACTTACAAAAGGAAGCATTGACCTGGGAACTTGCTTACAGTTTCAGAGGATCGGTTTATTACCATCATGAGAGGAGCACAGTGGCAGGCAGGCATGATGCTGGATCCGTACCTGGGAGCTCACATCTGATCCACAAGCTGTAGGCAGAGAGCAAGAGGATGGGCCTGACATGAGTTTTTGAAACCTCAAAGCCCACCCCCAGTGATACACCTTTCCAACAAGGCCACATCTCCTAATCCCTCCCAGACAGTTACACTAACTGGGGACCAAACATTCAAACACACCAATGGGGGCCATTCTCATTCAAACCACCACAGGGAGGAAGGATTTACTTCACCTTATAAGTCTCAGATCACAGTGCATCTCTGACTGAGGTCAGGCAAGGAGCTCAAGGTAGAAACCTGGAGGCAGGAACTGAAGCCAAGACTGTGGAAAATTCTACTTTCTGTCTGGCTTCACCAAGCTTGTTCAGTTTGCTTCCTTATCTTTTTCAACCTTGTGAGCAAATTTAAACTGCTAAGCTACACCTGAATCTTCCACACACATGGCTCCTCAGCTGGCTCTGCCCACTTCTCAGGTCATGAAAGCCAAACCTAAAACTCATGGTCTGGTCAGAGGTAGGTGAGCAAGAACTGCATTCAACCTTCCTAGCTGTGGAAACCTATACCTGTGTGCTGCCACAGAAGATTTTTATTTAGCTTGCCCTTTCTATTTAGCTCTGCCCTGCTGGCTGAACAGTCATGCCTCTTAAAGGAGCCATGTCCTTTTTCTTTTTCTTTTCAGCTTTCTCGAGCCTTGTAGATATTTGAGCCCCACATTGGGTGCAAAATGTTGTTGTTTGGTTTTGCTCTTTTAGGGGGCCTGCCACCCAGCTCCCAAATAAATCACACACAGAGGTTTATTCTTAGTTATAAATGCCCAGCCTTAGCTTGGCTTGTTTCTAGCCAGCTTTTAATTTTAAATTATCCCATCTACCTTTTGCCTCTGGGCTTTTTCCTTTCTCTACTTCTGTATACCTTTCTTCTCTTACTCTGTGGCTGGCTGTGTGGCTGGGTGGCTGGCCTCTGGTGTCCTTCTCCTTCTCTGGCTACTTCTTCCTCCCAGATTTCTCCTTCTGTCTCTTCTCTCTGTCTGTCGGCCCTGCCTATCCTTTCTCTTGACTTGCTTTTGGCCGTTCAGCTCTTTATTAGACCAGCAGGTGTTCTAGCAAAGTATCACAGCTTCACAGAGTTCAACAAATGCAACATAAACAAAAATAGCACACCTTAAAATAAGATACCCCAACTGAGACTGTATCTTCACTAATGGCCTCTCTTCTGAACCCCAGCCCTCCCACACAGGGCCAAACCTCAACTGCTCTTCATGACCCCTTCATGCCTTCACAACCAGTACCACCTAGGAGACTCTTACACATTACCAAGTTCAGCTGTTGCCCCCCTCTGGACCACAGCTTCTGTGTGCTGACCCTGAGGAAACACTCCCAGAAGATTTCATATCCGTGATGCTAGTCTCTTCTTAATCACGTTAATTTCTCAATTCCAGCTATCAAGCATCAGTTGTCCCAGCAAGGCAACAATTTACTTTAGTGGTCTCTTGTTAATCACACTGACCCTTCACCTCCCATGGCCAGACACCACAGATTCTAAAAACACAAAACATCGAATAAATGGTCCTGTTAGACTCTTTGCTTCCCTCCACAACTTCACAAGCCAGGCCTCCATCCTCCGCACTGCTGTCAGCATTATCTTCCAGGATCCTACAACAGATCACTAACCTCTGAGCACTCAATGGCCTCTCTAGCCCAATGTTCCAAATGCTTCTACAACTTCCCCCAAACAACATGGTCAGGCCTGTCATGGCAGTACCTCATGATCTGGTACCAATTTTTGTCTTAGTCAAGGTTTCTATTGCTATAATAAAACGTCATGACCAAAAGCAACTTGGAGAAGAAAAGATTTATTTCAGGTCACATTCCATCACCGAGGGAAGTAAGGGCTAGAAATTGAGTAGGAACTTTGAAACAGGAATTAAAACAGAGTCCATGGAGGAATGATGCTTTCCAGCTTGCTCATCCAAATTTATTCAGTTTGCTTTCTAGGACACCCCAGGATGACCTTCCAAGAGATGCCACCACCCACGGTGCTCTGTACCCTCCCATACCATTCATTAATCAAGAAAACACCGTACAGATTTGCCTACAGGCCAGTCTGATGGAGGCATTTTCTCAACTGGTGGTCCTTCTTCCCAAATAACCCTGCCTTGTGTCAAGTTGACAAAAAAAGTTTAACCAGGAAAAAAATCATATTTAGTTTTTAATGGCTCTGTGAAGTTCCACCTGATGCATTTATCCCACTCGGTTGTGGGACTTGATCAGAAGCTGGTATGTGACAATGCTTCCATTTCTGTGAAACTCCATCTTCCACAGTTTGTACCCCTGGGAAAATATCCTAGGTCAGAATTTGGGGAGAACTTTTAACTTCATTTCAGTTTCATGCATATGTCAAATTCTGCTCCTTTGCAGGCCTTTGGTGGGTACAAAGCATGTTCTCATCACCAGATTTACAGGTTTCCGTGGTGGTATTGTGTTCCCCAAAATATTGTGCACCCTAATAAACTTATCTGGGGTCAGAGACAGAACAACCACTAGATACAAAGGCTAGAAAATGGTGGCACTCACACGTTTAATCCTAGCACTCCAGAGGTAGAAATCCCTCTGGATCTCTGTGAGTTCAAGGCCACATTGGAAATGGCCAGGCATGGTGACACACGCCTTTAATCCCAGAAAGCGAGCCTTTAATCCCAGGGAGTGGTGGTAGAAGGCAGAAAGATTTATAAGGCGTGAGGACCAGAAACTAGAAGCATTTGGCTGGTTAAGCTTTCAGGCTTTTGAGCAACAGTTCAGCTGAGAGCCATTGGGATGAGGACACAGAAGCTTCCAGTCTGAGGAAACAAGACCAGCTGAGAAGTTGGCCAGGTGAAGTTAGCTGTGGCTGTTCTGTCTCTCTGACCTTCCAGTGTTCACCCCAATATCTGGCTCAGGTTTGATTTTATTAATAAGAACTTTTAAGATTCATGCTACAGGTTTCCCTTGAGGCTTCATGCCACACCCCATGAAGCACTGGTTCTGACCAATGCTGCCTAGAACACCACTTCAGCCTTATAGTCTGTGATGTTCATCTTGAATCTGATTGGCTGCTCTTCCTTGGAGCTCTGTTGTGATGAAAACCTCTCTGGCTCAATGACAGAGGTCTCTGGCCAGAGAACCTAAGGCAGGAGATGTATTCCAGGGGATAGAAGTCATAAAACAGTGTTTTGAGGGTGTTGGGTGGAGCCTCCAGGGAAGCTCAAGAACACAGAGGTGAGAGTTTGGCTGACACTCACCAGAGGCCTGAAAAAGTTGGTGCACATCTGATGTGATAACTCACTTTTCACTGAAAACTCATGTTAGGTTCTCCTAAGGGCACAAGTTGTGGGAGAAGATTGTGATTCTTGTGAGAGGAAGGCTAATACTGAATTTCTTTTTCTTTCTTTATTTAGTAGTTAGTTAATTTGTTTTGATGATCAGGCTCCGATGTATAGAGGGGAAAACAGTCTACCACTGGGCTCTCAGTCCCAGAAACTGCTTTTTATTATGTTGTACAACAAGGTGAGCTCAATACATACAATGAAACTTTGCACAACAGTTAAAAATTGATGTAAACATTAAAAGTGACACTCATAATTGTTAGTAGATGAAGATGTGCATTGTGTATTATATGGTGAATAAAGCAAGTAATAAAGTGACAAGGATAGTGTCCTCCCTTTTTGTTTATATCTACATATATTTATCTGTATTTGCATATTATATACACTACACACACACACACACACACACACACACACACACACACACACACACACCCTGTGCATATTCAGTTTGTGACCTTCAGTAAACCATGGACCTACTTCTTGCTTCAGTGTCTTTACTTGGGAGGCTGAAGAGAAATAATGGTAACCCAGTATTCCATAGGAGAATCAAGAGTTCAGATAAAGGTGACCAGTCTGCAGCATGAATCCTAAAGAGTCTTATTAATAAAAAACAAACCTGATGCCAGGTATTGGGGTGAATGCTGGAAGATCAGAGAAGCAGAACAAGCCACACTACTCAGAAGCCTAGCTGTCCTAACACAGCACAAAGTGTGTGTAACTAATTATTTTTAACTTCAATTTTGAAGTTATATTTCCTTAGTCAGATTTATGTTAATTTCTGGAGGATGGCAGAGCAATTTTTGACGTTGAAGAAAATGATTTCTGTTTGAAAGGCTAGAGGGTATCTCTCTCAGAGTCAGTGTTATCAGGAATGGTATATTTGCTGGACTTTGGGGCGTGTCAGGTATTTGAGACCCAATCATTCTGAAACAGTGTTTACAGAGTTTCTCCTATGGAACTGACCTCTTAGAAGTTTCCTTATATCATGCATAATTATTAGCAATTAACTTCTAGGTATTTTCTTTCATCTTAACTGAAGTGTATTCACTCAAAATTATAATTTTTTAGCAAGTTTGGAGGCTTCCCTCAGATGGTTTAAAATTCTGTTTTTAAAATTCAAGGCAGCCAGGTATAGCTCATGCCTATAATCCCAGAACTTGTGACATTGAAGTAGGAGGATTGCTGTCTCAATTAATTAATTAACTAATTACAGTAAGAATATGGAATAGTTTTATTATTTCTGGTTGGTTTACAAACCATGCCTATGCTTCACTGAAGGATTTTTCAGTCTGAAAAAGCAATGGTAATTGTTTCACTTTCAGGACAACCCTGTGTCATTCTGCATCTGTAGGACACACAGCACACAGCATCACACAGATGCATGGATTTTCACTTAGAAGCCTGTGATGTGGCCACAGTAGCCCATGTGGTATCTTACCCCATTTCCCTTGGATTCATGACGAAGACATGAGGCTCTTTCTGAAGCTGGTATCCAGCGTGTCTTCACACAAATACATGCTAACATGGAGCTTTTAAGGAGAGAAGAACGCTGTGAGCGTGGCTTTTAGCTCTGTGGAAACCTTTCAGAGTGTAGATGTGATGCGCTGGCGGCATAGGGTGTGGGTGCTTCTCAGTCCCGTGTGTTTGGTGACTTTTCGGGTGTGGGTGCTTCTCAAGCCCCGTGTGTTTGGTGACTTTTCGGGTGTGGGTGCTTTTCAAGTCCCGTGTGTTTGGTGACTTTTCGGGTGTGGGTGCTTCTCAAGTCCCGTGTGTTTGGTGACTTTTCGGGTGTGGGTGCTTCTCAGTCCCGTGTGTTTGGTGACTTTTCGGGTGTGGGTGCTTCTCAAGCCCCGTGTGTTTGGTGACTTTTCGGGTGTGGGTGCTTTTCAAGTCCCGTGTGTTTGGTGACTTTTCGGGTGTGGGTGCTTCTCAGTCCCGTGTGTTTGGTGACTTTTCGGGTGTGGGTGCTTCTCAAGTCCCGTGTGTTTGGTGACTTTCGGGTGTGGGTGCTTCTCAGTCCCGTGTGTTTGGTGACTTTTCGGGTGTGGGTGCTTCTCAGTCCCGTGTGTTTGGTGACTTTTCGGGTGTGGGTGCTTCTCAGTCCCGTGTGTTTGGTGACTTTCGGCACTTTTCCCACAGCATCCACCCAACCAGCATTTGTGACGTGGCCCTGAGAGCTCCCGGGGTTTTCCAGATGAGGCTTAAGATTATTGCACACTGCACTGTGCTCTGAGTGAATTTTGTCCCGCAGCGTCCTTTGGTCCAACACATCGGGGATGTCTTTTTAATAACAGCTCCCAGGACCTACTTTTCAGTCCAATGCTGGGAACAGAACCTACTGCTCAAGGAGATAGTAAGAAACTCCAAGCAGACCACACACCCAGGGACTGTTTTTTGTTGTTGTTGCTGTTGTTTGTTTGTTTGTTTTTGTTTCTAGTTTTCCCTGGTTGTCGGTAACTCTTCCGGAGCCAAAGTGAGATAAAACAATTTACGCAGCTCCACAGCCTTCGACCCCAGAGTAGAGCTACTTTCAGCTGGATCAGAAGCAAAGCCAACAGAGGCCTCTGCTTCAGTATTCTGTCCATGGCACATTCTTATCCCCTGCACCAACATGGTCACTTTCAACACCTCCTTAAGTAATTCAGCCCACTCCATTATTTCCTAGTAAGCTCCATGGGTGACCTCTCTCAAGTGTGGCAGACACTGGCTTACTATTAGCTTAATGCAGCACAATTAATATCTTCCTGATGTCCCTTCTTATTCAGCAGGTACTACTGGTAAAAGCCTGCCCATCTTTTAAAGGTAAACCTTGTCCAGTTACACCCAGGAGAGGAATCACTGGAGATCTATGATTTCTCGGAACAGAATATCTCCATTTGCATAAAATATTTTTCCTTTGACAGGGTGCCAGGAAGAAGCACCCCATATGATTGCTCACAGTGCTCTTTTCGGGGCATTAAAAACAGGAGACATTGCCACGGTGGCCTTAAAACAATTATTCTCTCCCCTGGAACCTTTCTGCCCCTTCCTGACTCAGGATACCATGACTTTGTGAGGGCTTGATCACCCAAGGGCCCAGGATAATGGACAAAGGGGATCGCCTACATGATGTAATTCCACACGAAGGAGACCAGGTCATTAGTGTAATAGTAAGGTCGAATGTAGCGACCATAACCCTTAAGTTGGTTGAGAAATAATGGCTGGAGTCAAAATTTAAATAAAATTGAAATCTGAGCAAGTCAAGAGATCTACAAGCCTCAGAGACAAGTGGTCTAGACAACCAAAATCACACTTAAATGCCAAGAAAAAAAATTGTCTCTATTTTCAAGGGTGTACTGTGTTATTAGCCAGAATATCAATGATTGAAAAACAAATACCTTTCTTTAAAATATCAAGCAGCCAAAGGAATCTGCCTAAATGTAAGAGTATGAATTTATGGGGAAATGGAGCATTGAAGGCTTTGGATTAGAGACATTATTTATCAATACACAGATGTGACAATTAAATTTGGGTTGTCCAGACTGGCCACAGTGCCTGCACAGTCACTCAGGCATTTCTCTGTGAAGGATACTTCCTGAAGATATGAGTGCCTGTCTGCCAGGCTTACTCCAGCTTTACAGTCTCTCCCGTTGAGGCTGAGTCTCTTCCCAGGGAGCTGAAAACCGAAATTTAACCAAAGGCCAACTTCCACTGAGAAGGGTGCTGGTTCCACTTGCACTACTGTTGGGGCAGCGGTGTGTCCCTGAGAAGGGTGTTCATTCCTCTTGCACAACTGTTGGGCAGTGGTGTGTCCCTGAGAAGGGTGTGGGTTCCTCTTGCATTACTGTTGGGCAGCGGTGTGTCCCTGAGAAGGGTGTGGGTTCCTCTTGCATTACTGTTGGGCAGCGGTGTGTCCCGGCCTTTGTACCTGATCTGAGAAAGCAGCTCATCTTAGCCTAGAGCCTGGGCACTAAATTACCCTCTCTTCTGACCTCCAGCTTGCTCCAAGGTGCAAGCACATGTGCACACCCACACCCACGCCTGCACATGAATACATGGGTGCGTACTGTATTAGTTCTGTTTCTCTGGAGAATCCAGAGCAGACATCCTCATCTGAGGGATTGGAACCACCGAGCACACCTCAGTGTGGCATGAGCAACTTCCTCTCTGGAAAGGACGGGGGATCAGCACATCAGAAAGATCCAGAAGTGCTCGCCATGGTTTAACCAGCGATGGGCAACAATCCACAGGACAGCAGCAAAGCTTAAGTTCTCTTTCTTTTTCTGCACCTCCAAATAGAATAGTAATTTTTCCCAGCTGCCATTTACATGCCTGCACTTGGCACATATTGTTCTGAGGAGACTAGATGAGGCTCTGGCAGGACAGAGCACCCAGTCTGAAGTAGATTTTGCCTCTCACAGGCACCTTTACTACATCTTTAGTTCAACTCTGGAGATTAAAATACTGAGCTAGTTTGAGACATTGTTCTCCTAAAGTAAAAGTGCTTCTGCGGGGGACTAGGGATTGACTCAGTGAGTAAGAGTGCTTGCTCCTCAAGCGTGGGGGATTGAATGTGGATCCCAGAGTCTATGTAAGATCCACCATGGTTACAGGTACCTGCAGCCCCAGAGCTGGGGAAAGAGAACTAGAGAATGGTCGGGGCTGGCTGGCTGCTAGGTTCAGGTTCAATGACAGTCTCTAACTCAAGAAAATGGGGAGGGGTGGAGAGAATTCCTGCTCTGGCCTCACACACAAGTGCAAAAGTGCAAGCACACACACCACATTCACATGCATAGAGCCAGATACACACACGGGGGGGGGGGGGGGTGTATGTGTGTGCAAGGTTAAGCTATTCAATTGTTATATTTCTCTTTATTTTGCTTCCTTCCTTCTTATTCCTCTATCATGTAACTCAAGATATCTTGACTTATTATCCCATCTAAATATTGTTCAGTTTCACCATGGTCCTTATATTATGATATATTAAAGGGAAAAAGCTACAGCACTTGAGGATTTTACCTCTTCTTCAAGGGAGAGGTTGGAGCATGCTGTGCTGGATGCTGGATAATTGTGTCCATCCGGAGGTATCAGGCCCTTGGTACTGCGTCTATTCAGATGGCATGTATCACGTGAGAAAAAATGTGCTTGAGTGCCAAGGTGATGGGAGGCTTGTGATAGTTAACATTACATATCAACTTCACCCAGCCACGAGTGGCCAGATTCCTGGTTAAGTGTTTGTTCCCAGGGAACAACTGCAGAAGTGTTTCGGAAGCAGAGACTGAGACAAGTGGATAGCCTACAGTGTGGAGGGCATCCTGCTATCCAGGGAGAGCCGAGAGAGCAGATGGCAGAAGGAAAGACTATTCCCTCTACCTGTTTCCCGTTGGTCCGACCATCTTCTTGACTAAGATCAGAATCTACATCATCAGCCCCCCCCCCCCCCCCAAGTCCTGTCATGTGCAGACAGACCTCCATCACTGCCTGGACAGTTCTGGGGAACAGCTCTCTTTGCTTTATGTATGTGTGCGTGCACATGTGTCATACACATGTGTTTGTTGGTTTTGTTCCTGTGGGGGTCCTAATGCATCAACCAGGCAGCTTAAAAAAAAAAACTGAATAAAATAAATTCCAAGACAAAATGTGGTGGCTTCTGGATTTCACTGTGGTTCAAGTAGATCCACTTTAGTAACAGTCAGGGGGCAGGTGCCTGTGAGTGCAACTATTTTAATTGCAGTTGTCATTTATTCCTCCTCAGCCGTCTGAGTTTAGACAGGCTACAAAAGCTCACTAAGCCACAGAGTCCGCACATGTGCAATGGGAACCCCATTAGTTTCCCAGGATGACTACATAAAGCACCGGGGTCCCAGCACCACAAACAACAGAAAGAAGTCATTGACCCCCAGTCTGGAGGCCACAGTGACAGTGTCAGCGAGGTCGGCTCCACTATGGTCCCCCCGGGGTAAAATAGTCCCAGGCTTCTCTCCCATTCCTGGGCGCTGGCTCGCCAGCTTTGGTGGTGACCCTTGGCTTATGGAGCTATCCCCTGCTCCAGCCCTCTACCTCTGTCACTATCACCTGACCGCCTGTCCTCTGGCTCCCATGTGTATCTCTTCCTCCCTCTCTTTACGAGGTGTTACAGTGAACTTCATTCTACAGGGTCAGCCGCCTGCTGAGCCTCAAGCCTCTTGGGTCACTTCTTGCAGGATCCCTTTGTGACAAATGACATACCACCCCTCTCTCCTTGCCCACTTCTCATTTTCCTTCCCAGCCCTTAGGACCACCTGACCTGCTGTATAGTTGTTGTTAATAATTTATGGTCTCTTCTCCCTATGGCAATGTACAAGGTTCAGGAGACCAGCACACCTTAGAAGTTGCTTGCTTCCTATATCCCACAGCTTCTTAAACTCTGGGTTCAGACATCATATGGGGCCGCACAACTGAATGTGAGGGTTGTGAAAAACTGCCACCAGGAAAGGATTTCTGAACATTCAAGGAGCAAAACTTAATTGAAAATCAAATGTGTAATGAATTGAGATTGCGTGGGCTGCCTTCACAGAGGCCTTGGTTCTGAACACACAGCACGTGTATTCTGCCCCGTGCATGCTGTCACACCAGCCAGTGCTGAAGAACACTGCCCGGAGCCCCCAGGCTCAGATTTAAGACCATTTTTTGCTGCAAACCACAGTGTTTTCACTGCATGTACAAAGTGATCTGCTCTTAGAGAAACATAATAGTTTAATTACAGAAAACAGAGACTGTTCATATTTTCATACCGCCATCCTCAGCATGTAAGCACCAAATTGGAGTATTTTTGGATTGCACTGCATTAAGATGCTAGATTTTAAAATTTGCTATTTGAGCTGCTCACTCAAGTTTCACGGAAAAAAAATCATTACATGAATTTTGGCTTGAGATTAGGATAGAATTTCAGCAATTTCTGAAATGGCCCTAAATATAATTCTACCATTTTGTACTACATATTTATGCAAAGCGCCTTTCTCAGCACTAGTGATTATAAAATCAAAATAATGATCAACTCCGAAAAACACTGAAGATGTTCTGCATCCTTTAGTATCAAATATTCAGCCAAGATTTAATTATTGATATAAAAATAAGCAAGCACATCCATCTCATTAGTATGCAGATTTCCTTTTGTCTTTAACAAATGGTAAAGTTATACTTATACCAACCATTTTACAATAAATTTCCTTATGAGTTATTATCAGAAAATGTTTGATTTGTATACCTAGTTTACACGTCTACAGACCTGGGAATCACACACACATGCACACGCACACACAATTCTCCAGCAGGAAGAGGTCACGGATAGACAGGGGTGAGAAAGTCTTGCTTCGTCCCTGCAGCTTAGGACAGAACAGGAAAGACCAGATTGTAAAACAGAAGCAAGAAATTATCTGAGTTGTGAATGATGTTAAGAGTCAAGCCACGTTTTTCTGCTGAATGGCCCACATTGTCCATCTGCAATAAAGTCCAGCCTCAGAATGTGGGGACAGCACAGAGTTGCCCCAGAATGCACAAGGCCTTAACATTGACATTTCCCTGGTCTGTATTCATATACACCCCAAATACCATGATAAGTAAAAGTCACTAATTCAGAAGACTAACATTTATAGGTGAAAAATGTCCAGGTTGTCTGTGACAGGTGCTGTTTGTCCAAATACCATGGGAAACATCAAGAGTTGGAAAATATGAGAGATGATTTTTGCCTCTAATCCTCGGGAACCATCTGAACACACCACCCTTCTTCCCAGATAGTTGAAACACAGGCAGACAGGTTGTACACAGTTCCTTTATATTTTCTTTTATTGGCTCACAGGACATTATGTGGTGTTTCTTTAACAACTGAAAAGGTCGCATGTACTAGAGAACAGTCTACAATTCTTTTGTATCCTTCGTAACAGTTATCAAAATAAAGTACTATTATTTTTTAATCATTAATTGTTCAGATTTTTTCCCCCTCGAACAGCTTGAATTCTTTATTGTTTTTCAGGGTTTGGGAAACAAGGACCCTTTCGCTGGGCTTATTGGCCAATTATTTTGTTTTGAAAATATGGCAGCAGGAGGAAGTCTGTCTTTGCCAAAGAAAAAGGCCTCCATGGAGCTGGCTATGCTGGGCCCAGTCAACTCATCTTCAGGCACAGAGCTTGGAGGTTAGGCCAGGGACAACGGGCCTACAGCTATCTTTTTTTCTGGATGCTGGTTGGAAAATGTTCCCTAAGAGAAACATCTAAGTTACTCAGGCGTGTGTGTGTGTGTGTGTGTGTGTGTGTGTGTGTGTGTGTGTGTATGTGTGTGTGTGTGCGCCTGTGCGTGTGCACGTGCGGGCTCACATGCTCACTACACAGGCACAGTAGGTATTTTGGGCTAATTTCCCTTCTCAAGAAGGGCATCCTGTGGTATTTATGAAATGGAGAAATGTAGGTGACCCAGCATTTAACATCGCTGCATTCAGCATGCTGTGTGTAAGCCCAGAGTGGAGAAAAGGAGCACCTGCAGGCATTTGTTCCCTCTGGGAAGTGGAAGAGCACTCCTTGTGAATGGCTCTTCTTCGTCTTCTTGTTTTAGCCTAAGGTCCAGCCTGGTGCCTGGGGAACAGAGAAAGCCCTGTGCTGAGGGAGGGCGGACTGCTGAGCTGACACTTCCTGCTTTCCCCTGGGCAGTCCTCTGGAGGGGACACCCTCAATCTGGATGCAGGCCTGCCTGTCAGCTCACGCCTGGAAAGGCCTGTTAGACCACACTGCTTTGCCAAATTTGCTGTTAGTAACATTTAGATTCTATATTTACTGTCTGGAGCTCGCCAACCCTGCCACCCCACGAACGCTAAAAATTAGAGATGCCAACAGACGGGAGGGTGGGACAGTCCCTTTCAAAAACCTGGCTGCTTTGGCTATCAACGCCTGGCAAGCCAAGCGGCTCCTGGAGCCAGGCTCCCGCGGGCCCTGCCTCCCGCCCACCGTGCTGCCTGCCAGGGACGCTGTGTGCCTCCCAGGAGCCAAGTGCAGCCGGCCTGCCCAAAGCCTTTCAGGGAGAATTAAATTACCTGCTAACTACCTAAACAGCTCCTGTGTGGGTAGGGGTCCTCATTCATTTTATTTCCTTGGGCCAGGGGAGAGCAAAGGTAGCAGAAAGGGACACAGGTGGAAATGGGGAGAGAGAGAACTACCCAGGAAGGATACAGTGGCTGGCCTGGCTCCTGGCGGCTGGTCCTGGCAGCTGCTCCCGCGGGGCACAGCAGCTCTTGGGCGAGGCAACCTGGACCCGGTTACCCTGGCAACCCGTTTCCCTGGTTACCGGAGGCAGGCGGTCCAGGAGGAGCGGCAGCACCAAGGGTGAGCTGATGCATGGCCTTGTTTGCAGGGAGGTGATGCTGGGCTCCAGGGAGAAGCGTCCTGGGAAAACTAGAGGGCGCTGCTCTGTTCCGGAGCAGGAGCTTAACCCCACAGCCAAGGCCATTGCACTTTCACTTATTCTGCAAGGCCTGTAGGGAGCTTCAGAGGGCCCTCATGCCTGCAAAGGCAAGAGTGGGGCCCCCGCCATCTGCATTCTGGACATAAGCCTAAGCTTGTGTTCAAGAACTATGAGAAGAGATAGAAAGAAAAAATATATTAAAAAAAATAAAGGGTTGGGCATAGTAATGGAATTCATAGTAATATAATTAGCATGGAAACAGAAGAGGATTTTAGGGGGAAAGACAGAATCATGGACAGAGGACTTGTAGTGTGGGAGACAGCAGTGAGGGAGGGGGGTGAATAAGAAAATAGTGTAATGGCATACGTGCATGAAAATGGCATAATGAAGCCCATCATGTTGTATAGTAACTTACAAAATTATTTTTAAAAATGAAAAGAAATCTTTTGAAGGCTTTGCACATCCCCTGGCATGGAGAGTGTATCTTAAAATCTCAGGGCTAGGTTTATTTATATTAGCGTGATTCAGAAAACTATAGGACAAAAGGACATTTCAAAAATGGCAGAAAAACCTTTTCCTAAAAGGTAGGATAAAATTGGTACATTGAGGTAAGAAGATGAATTTGAGGTCCTCCAGAGCTCCCTGAATCTCCTGTTCCTATAACCAAATAACTCCAGCATTTTCCCTTTGGTATTGCCCAGTGTCCTTTCATTATTGAAGAAAGCCAGGAAGATTTAGCACAGATCCTGTAACTACTTTCAAAGTCAGCCAGCTTATTTCCTCTTTATAAAGACAAAAGAAACAAATAAAAACAGACCTACATGGCCCAGAAGCAAAAAACTTAGGAGGCTGCTTCCTGGCTAGGCGGCTTCCAACCTCTGGAGAGTGCCTTCTTCAGACACAGCTGGTGCTGTATCTCAGGAAAAGGAGCCGTGGAAGCCACCAGAAGCACTGGCTTCCTGCATGTGGTTTCCTGTGGAAACCCCTTAGGTCATGAACAGATCACCACAGATGTTTATATCGACTTCCTTAGCTACCTGAACACACAACTGTGGCTCAAGGCTCCAGTGACCCATGTCTCTAGGGTCTCTGCAATAGCCACATACCTCCGGGTAGGCAAGGATAAGCCAGGGAATCAGAACCCTAACCTGTGGCCATTGTGGGAGCCCTTCCCCTGGGCTGGCTTGCCCAAGGAGTGGTCGCACTCCACACCTAGAGAGCACAAGATAAATCACAAGACTTTAGCCACTGAGTTTTTGTCAGAGGTGGGCAAGGAAGGTGGCAGGAAAGGAAGGCATGGGAAAAAAACAAAAGTCATGCAGAACCTGTACCCCTTTGCCCAATGCAGTCATCCAAGCCCTTTATCAAACTTGAATGTGCCTGCTGGGCTAATTCCTGTGGCCTCAATAGGGAAAATCAGGCTGCTTCTGTGTTAGCTGATGCCACTCACACAGCCCTTCCCCAGAGCTAGAGTTGAGGGTAATCAGTTACTATTTGTAAATTTGAAATTAGTAAAAGGATCTGGGGGAAGAAACCATTGTTCATAACTGCTAAATGTTGTTAAGGATATAACCACCATCACAGTGAATACAAACTACAAATGCCATGATGCACGCCTAATGGATCATGGGCCACAGGCTGGACATCAGCTCCACACTGGAGGCTCTTAGGAACACTGGCCCTATACGAGGGTCCTGAAGAAATGAACTGACACAACTGAATTTAGGAAGTTGTTCAGGACTCCAACTTAGCCAGAAATATTGCACAGGATCAGACAGAACCCTGAAAGTTGGTTTAAATTTTCATTTTATATTTATTTATTTGTTTATTATGTGTGTGCAAGCCTGTGTGTGTGTGTATGTGTGTGTGTGTGTGTGTGTGTGTGTGTGTGTGTGTGTGTGTGTGTGTAAATGCACATGTCATGGCACATGTATCAATGTAGGGGTGGTAAGTTAAGTGTTTGGACAGAATCTGCTGAGGAGACACTGCCACTTGTTAAGTACAAACAGCAGTGATTTTGACAACTGCAAGTTTTTCAGCATTCTCACCAAAGGCCAATCATTCCTGTCAGGCAAGCAAATATTTCCCTTTCTGTTTGCTGATCAGAAGACCTGAGTTAGTAACTCACTTGTTAGTGCTGCCATGTCTATACCCTGCATGCTAAAGTCCACATGTGTCATACCCTGCACGCTAAAGTCCACATGTGTCATACCCTGCACGCTAAAGTCCACATGTGTCATACCCTGCACTCTAAAGTCTACATGTGTCATACCCTGCACGCTAAAGTCTACATGTGTCATACCCTGCATGCTAAAGTTCACATGTGGCATACACTGCACACTAAAGTCCACATGTGTCATCCATTGCACACTGAAGTCCACATGTGTGATACCCTGCACACGAAAGTCCACATGTGTCATACCCTGCACGCTAAAGTCCACATGTGTCATACCCTGCATGCTAAAGTCCACATGTGTCATACCCTGCACTCTAAACTCTACATGTGTCATACCCTGCACGCTAAAGTCTACATGTGTCATACCCTGCATGCTAAAGTTCACATGTGACATACACTGCACACTAAAGTCCACATGTGTCATCCATTGCACACTGAAGTCCACATGTGTGATACCCTGCACACGAAAGTCCACATGTGTCATACCCTGCACACTAAAGTCCACGTGTGTGATACCCTGCACACTGAAGTCCACATGTGTCATACCCTGCACACTGAAGTCTACATGTGTGATAGCCTGCACACTGAAGTCCACATGTGTTATACCCTGCACACTGAAGTCCACATGTGTGATAGCCTGCACACTGAAGTCTACATGTGTGATACCCTGCACACTGAAGTTCACATGTGTCATACCCTGCACACTGAAGTCCACATGTGTCATACCCTGCACGCTAAAGTCCACATGTTTCATACATTGCACACTGAAGTCCACATGTGTGATACCCTGCATGCTAAAGTCCACATGTGTCATACCCCGTACACTGAAGTCCACATGTGTGATACCCTGCACACTGAAATCCACATGCATGATTCCCTGCACACTGAAGTCTATATGTGTGATAGCCTGCACACTGAAGTCCACATGTGTCATACCCTGCACGCTGAAGTCCACATGTGTTATACCTTGCACACTGAAGTCTACATGTGTTATGCCCTGCATGCTAAGTCCAAATGTGTTATACTCTGCTTGCTGGAGTTCACATGTGTGAAGTTTTGTGACCCTTAGGGAAAAAAAACTCCTTGAACCAGCTGAAGATGAACATTCAAAAAAGAAAAGTGAATTATCTACACGTTCATCTGTTTAGAACAGAAATAACTTCTGGTTCTAAATCAAAGACCATTTTCCAGGGTTTGTTCTTGCTATTGTTGTTGTTTTTAGATTATGATTTCATTATAAAATTCTCCCTTTCCTCCTCCCAAACCCTCCCATATAACCTTCCCCACTTTCCTTCAAATACATTAATTGCTATTGCATGCTTACATGTATATGTAGAAACATATATATTCCAAAATATAACCTGGTCAGTCTTTATAATGTTACTTACATGTATGTTTTCAGGGCTGACCACTTGGTACTACACAACTAACTGGTGTGATCTTGCCTGGAGAAGACCACCTCTCCTGATCCCAGGTTCCTCTTTGTGTTGAGGCCTCAAAGGCTTTTCCCCACTCAATTTCACATGTCTATCGGTGTTGTCCTTGTTCAGCTCACATTTGAGCAACCATGTTGGTGAGACTTTATGAGTTGACTTCTGATATTACTAGGAGACACAGTCTCACAGCAAACTTCCCAGGTTCTTACAGTCTTTCCACTCCCTCTTCCACAATATTCCCTGAGTCTTAGGTACTGGAGTGTTTTATAGATGTATCCACTGGGTCTGAGCTCCAAAACTCTGCATTTTAATTGGTTGTGATTTTCTGTAATGATCTCCATCTGTTGCAAATAGAAGTTTCCTTGATGAGGGGTGAATACTACACTTATCTGTATGAATAAGACCAAAAGCTTACAGATTGTTAATAGGGATCAGCTGGTTTAGTAAATTAGTGGTTGTAGATTCTCCTCCAATAACCATGGTTTCACTAGTACTGAGTAGTTAGCTCGGTTTCTAATACCAAACATAGTTTTTTGAGCAGCTCTTAAGACCACTAGTGGAGCTGTTGGTTACTTCCAAGTTTTGGATGCCACTACTGCACCCTTAGGGTTATCATGTCTTGCTGGTCATTGATGTAGTACAGAGGTGTCATAGCTAGGTAGAAATGGTGATTGCCTATCTCCTTTGGAAGCTTTCATGGCACCTTCTGGTACTATGAAAGTTAGTCATCATGGAGGAGGTATTCAGGTCAGTTCCATCTCAGGGGATCTCTGGGCCCTGTTTCTGAAATGCATGGTGTCTTCAGCAACAAGGACTTACCTTCCACATCTTTGGGGCACCCAAGGATGACAGCAATAGGCTGTATGTTTGGGGAGTCTCTTGGACAGCCCTGGCTGTCAACTCAAGAGACAGCTTCTCATGCTTGATTGGAGTTTTTGTTAGGTTGTCTTTGACTCTTGGAGGGAGCACCATCAGCCCAGATAAGAAAAGGTCATTAAAACTGTATGTGTGCATTTATACATACAAATGACATTATAAAGACTCAACAGGTTATATTCAGGAATATATATGTGTCTATACAAATACATATATGCATTCAATAACAATTGATGAAAAAGAGGCCATGAATTTGAAGGAGAGCAGAGGGTTTTAAGGAAGGAAAGAAAAAAATAAAAAAGTAAAATAATAAATAAAAGAAAAAAGAAAAATGTTATTAAAATACAATCTCAAAAATAAAAAGTGATGTATGTGTATTTATACACAGAATTACATGTACTACAGTTTGTTTTAATAAGGCAGAAAGTTAATA